TGCCACCACGCCCAGCTATTTTTTTTGTATTTTTAGTAGAAACAGGGTTTTGCCATGTTGGCCAGGCTGGTCTCAGACTCCTGACCTCGTCATCCGCCTGCCTCAGCCTTCCAAAGTACTGGGATTATAGGCATGAGCCACCGTGCCTGGCCTCATTCTGACTTTCTACCACATGCCCAACACAGTGCTCGGTATGCACATGACAGGCATTTAGCAAGTGGTGGCTCCCTTCCCGCTCTCTTCAGGAGAAAAAATGGAAGAGCTTCCCAGGGAGGCGAGTGACTGCACCTGCAGTGACAGAGGGCCGTAAAGAGTCACGGGTGTTTGGAGAACGTACTCAATACATTACTGCTGAGAGCTGCCTCTTTATATGTTTGAAGTTATAAGGCCTCAGTATGCCTACTCTTACCATTTGGTAGCACCCAAACACAAAACCAGCATCGTGTCTTTTGAGTTCGCAAAAGTAGTATTACTGTAATCCCAACACTTTGGCAGGCCAAGGCGGGAGGATCACTTGAGCCTGAAGTTCGCGACCAGCCTGGGCAACATAGTGAGACCCTATCTCTACAAAAAATAAGAAATTAGCCGGATGGATGTGGTGGTGCACACCTGTAGTCCCAGCTACTTGGGAGGTTGAGGCAGGAGGATCGTTTGAGCTTGGGAGTTTGAGGCTGCAGTGAGCTATAATCATGCCACTGTACTCCAGCCTGGACTACAGAGTGAGACCCTGTCTCAAAAAAAAAGTAGTAGAAAACAATTCAGTTCGAGTTGTGCCACAGTTAGTCCCATGGTGAATTTCCATCAGGCATTCTTGTACCTAGGTAAACTCAAAATCATGAGGCAACTCTTTTAGACAAGTGAGGTATACAAGTTAGCATCACTTAGTGATTATTTGGAAGCAACAAAAGTGATCCTGGCTTGGGGACTTGCTATAGGAGCTGATGCCTCTGAGATAGGAACTGTGAGGGCGTGGGGGTGGAAGGTTTGCAGTCAACTTCAGTTTTAAAGTGAGTTATACATCCCAGAGATAGGAACATGTAGAAAGACAGGAAAGGGAATGCAAGTGCTTTATCTGGGGAAAATTTCCTTCTTTTGTTGCATCAGCCACGTTTCAGGTCCTCAATAACTACATATGGCTAATGACTTCCACACTGGACAATGCAGATATAGAACATTTTTGTCATTGCAGAAAGTTCTTTTGCTCAGTGTGGCTCTGAATTAAATAAGCAGGCTCCTGCAGCAGTTTATTCCTGTTTGAAGCATGAAGGAGAATTCAATCTAATGATTCAGATTATTATCAAGTCACATAAAAACCATGAGAGTAGATGAGCTCCTCTGTGGAAAGTGTGTCAAGCATGAAGGGAGATGAGCAGAAGCTCCACAGTGTTTAGGGAGGGGAGGAGGGGAAGGAATTGACAGTCACTGAGTGCCTGCTGAGCAGCAGGCATTTTATGTATAACATCTCATTTCAAGATGCAGTCAGGGCCAGGCCTGGTAGCTTCATGCCTGTAATTCCAGCACTTTGGGAGGCTGAGGTGGACAGATCACTTGAGGCCAGGAGTTTGAGAGCAGCCTGGCCAACGTGGCAAAACCACATCTCTACTAAAAATACAAAAATTAGCCAGGCGTGGTGGCACACACCCGTAATCCCAGCTGTCTGGGTCTGGGTGGCTGAGGCACAAGAATTGCTTGAACCTGGGAGGTGGAGGTTGCAGTGAGCCGAGATTGTGCCACTACACTCCAGCCTGGGTGATAGAGCGAGACTCTGTCTCAATAAATAAATAATAAAGATGCAGTCAGCAAGGGTAAGTAATTTGCGGGAAGGTCGCTCAGCTGGTAAGTGATGAAACTGAAATTTGCCTTCAAAACCAAAAACAAAAATTAACGGGGCCTAGTGGCATGCGCCTGTAATCCCAGCTCCTCGGGAGGCTGAGGCAGGAGAATCACTTGAACCCGGGAGGCAGAGGTTTCAGTGAGCCAAGATCATACCACTGCACTCCAGCCTGGGCAACAGAGCAAGACTCCATCTCAAAAAAGAAAATAAAAACAGTGCCCATTTACCCAAGAGAGTGGACAACTAGGAGAGAGAAGCAGCAGAAGCCCAGAGAGGGGAGAGTTTCCAGGAGAGCAGTCAGTCATGGGAGGTGGGGCCAAGAGGTCCACTTATAATGACCGTGAGAAGGGCACCTTGGAAATGTGTTTCATGCATTTCTTCACTTCATAATCACAGTAACTCTATGAAGTACTTACTGTTACCTCCATTTTCCAGATAAGGAAACTGGCCTAGAGAGAGGGGAACTAAGAAGCGTCGTTGGGGTTGGGGAACCAAGAGGTTTTGGTCACTCTAAAAAGAGTAATTTCAGGAACTCGGGGTAGGGAGCATCTCCTCATACAAGTATCTTAGGAGGGCCTCATTATCTGAGCATAAATAACACCAGGAGAGACTACCCAAGGTAAAGAGACTTGGAATGGAGACTCAAGTGTGCGAGAAAAAATGTTTTGGGGGCTTTACCCTAATTTTTTCTTTAAAGTGTGCAAATATGTTTAGATTATCTTATCATTAATGGAATTTGGATTATAATTGCCACCATTTGCTGACTTGGGACAAGCCAAAGAATGAAGCGTGTGCTCATCTGCCCATCCGTCCCTGTGTCCATCCACACATGCATGTAACTTTTCTCTCAGTGGGCTCGTGATATGATAGGTCTTCCCTCTGACTCAGAGCATAATAGTAAAGGGACTCTTTCTGCCAAAATATTCCAGGACAGCAAGGCATTTGCTCTCCAAGGGCCTGCCTCAATTGCCCCTTTGGTTTTCAACTCATTCTCTTTTTTTTTTTTTTTGAAATGGAGTCTCTCTGTTCCCCAGGCTGGAATGCAGTGGCACCTTCTCAGCTCACTGCAACCTCTGCCCCCCGGGTTCAAGCAGTTCTCCTGCCTCAGCCTCCCGAGTAGCTAGGATCAAATCATTCTCTTTTAAAGTACTTGCTGGGTCACCAGCCTTGTGTTTCCTTCAGGCACAGGGGCCCTAACTGCCAGGTCCTCCTTATTTGCTTTGTGGTGATGCAGGCAGCTATCCCATGTCACTTTATTTTGACTTTGTGAAGCACCATGCGTTTTGCAAGATTTGCCTTTTCACTTTGTGTTGCAAGACCAATAGGGCTAGAATCTAGTGTTAAGGCAGCAGGAGTGATTGAGTGGCTCATGAATTAGTCCACATTTTTGTGACTTCTGCTTCCCTTCGTAATCTTGCCGCTGTGGGCTGCTGAATGAGGCTATTAAGGGCCCCCTGCCTGTGTGTCTTCTGTGCCGATCTCGCAGATCTGCAGCCTTCACTCTGCCCTCTAGCTGCTCCACGCTGCCCACGTGGGAGAGATCCTCAGACGAGCTTGCCGTTGTTTTCGTTTCCACTATAAACACCCCCACCGCCATCCACCACTGACCTCCTCTTCCTAGTCCAAGATTGGGCTCCCGGGTCACCAGAAAATCTTGTAGGTCTCACCTCTCCAGAGGATTGTCATTTGTCACCTGGCACGGCACTTAGAGTGCTGGATTCTGATCACCTCTATCTGTGAGCCCCAGAAGAGGTGGGCTAGATCTTGGCATTCCCAGCATTTGGCTTCTAATGGCTCATCGAGGTTTTGATTCCAGCCCTATTGTTTACTGCCTCCAACTTGTCCATTTCTTTCTTTTTTTTTTCTTTTAAGCTCCTGAAAACCCTCTTATTCCTAATCACCTGTCCTACAACATCACCTTTTATCATGAATCAAGTACAGTGACTTTTTTTTTTACTCCAGAAATATACTTACCCATTTTTCTTTCATTTTTTTAAAGTAACTTTCTAAAAATTTTTCTATTTGGAAAAAATTTTAATTTACAGAAGAGTCGCAAGAATAAAAATAGTGCAGACAACACCCATATACCAGTACCTAAATTGCTCTAGTTTTATTCTGTCTTATTCACGCCCTCTCTCCAGCTCTTGTTGTCACGTGTACCCTTTTTTCCTTGTGTGTACATAAATGTTCAGTACACATTTCATAAGAATTAGGGATATTCTCTTTCATAACCATAGTATAGTTAACAGCATTAGGAAATTTCACATTGATGCAATACTTTACTGTTCATCAGTTAATTTTGTTAGTTGACCCAATAATGTCCTTATGACTTTTGTCCCCCTCAGTATAGGATCCAGTTGAGGATAAGGTATTGTATTCTTTGTCATGTCTCTTAGCCTTCTTTAATCAGGAACATTCCAACAACCTTGGATATTAATGTTTTTGAAGAATACATTAATTTTATGATATTAATGTTTTTGAAGAATACTGCTCTTCCTTTTATTTAATAGATTCTTTCTCATTCAGGCTTTATCTGATACTTCCTCATAACTAGACTCAGATTGTCCATTTTTAGCCAGAATACTACATAGGTGATGATGTCCTCCTCAAGATGTCACATCTGGAGGGCCTTGGTATTCATCTCTCCCTCATTGGTGATGTTGATTTTGATCACCTGATTAAGGTGTTGTCCAGTGTCTCCACTGTATAATTTAAGTAGAGTTTTTTGGTTTTTGGTTTTTTTCTGAGACAGGGTCGCAACTCTGTCACCCAGGCTGAAACGCAATGGCGCAATCACAGCTCACTACAGCCTCGACTCCTGGATTCAGGTGATCCTTCCACCTCAGCCTCCCAAGTAGCCAGGACTACAGGCACGCACCACGACATCTGGCTAACTTTTGTATTTTTTTGTAGAGACAAGGTTTCGTCATGTTGCCCAAGCTGGTCTCCAACTCTTGGGCTCAAGCAATCCACCCACCTTGGCCTCCCAAAGTGCTAGGATTACAGGTGTAAGCCACCACGCCCAGCCTCAAGTAGAATTTTTTAAATCAAATGCATATGTGCATACAACTCATAATAAGAAGTCTGGTTATTAGGGTTAATGTTCATATTTGTAACTTATTGGTAAATTGCTATTTTTAGTGGTCATGCAGAAGCTTTCATGCTTTGAAACCATAGACTTCAGTGTAACCACCATGACCTATTTTTTTCTCTTTTCTTTGCCATTAAAAACTGTATAGAAGCAGCTGTGCCCCCATGGGTTGACACTAACGATGAAGAAACAATTCAACAACAAATTTTGGCCTTATCAGCTGTAAGTATCTTGTGGTACCCCAGATAGAACATACTTTCTTCCTGTTGTGATGTATCTCTGTTGATATGACTTTAGTAGAATTTATTTTTCTTTACAGTTTTTAAAATATTTTGAGATGTTAGGAATGTACACATTAACACATGATGTATACATTAACAAAATGTACACATACTTTTTTTTTTTTTGAGGTGGAGTCTTGCTGTCACCCAGGCTGGAGTGTAGTGGTGCAATCTTGGCTCACTGCAACCTCCACCCCCCGGGTTCAAATGATTTTCCTTCCTCAGCCTCCTGAATAGCTGGGACTACAGGCATGCAGCACCATGCCCAGCTAATTCTAATTTTTGTGTGGGTTTTTTTTTTTTTTTTGAAACGGAGTCTCGCTCTGTCACCCAGGCTGGAGTGCAGTGGCGTGATCTTGGCTCACTGCAACCAACCTCCTCCTCCCAGGTTCAAGCGATTCTCTTGGTGTTACAGGTGCCCGCCACCATGCCCTCCTAATTTTTGTATTTTGAGTAGAGACAGGGTTTCACCCTGTTGACCAGGCTGGTCTCGAACTCCTGATCTCATGATCCACCCCCGCCTCAGCTTCCCAAAGTGCTGGGATTATAGGCATGAGCTACCACACTCAGCCTAATTTTTGTGTTTTTAGTAGAGACAGGGTTTCACCATGTTGGCCGGGCTGGTCTCGAGCTCCTGACCTGAAGCAGTCCGTCTGCCTTGGCCTCCCAAAGTGCTGGGATTACAGGTGTGAGCCACCAATGCCCTGCCAAAATTTTTAATTTAATTTGTTTTGTTTTGTTTTGTTTTGTTTTGTTTTAAGAGACATAGTCTCAATTGGTCATCCAGGATAGAGTACAGTGGCATAATTATGGCTCACTACAGCCTTGAACTGGGCTCAAGTGATTCTCTGGCCTCAGCTTTCCAAGTAGCTGGGACGATAGGCGTAAGCCACCATGCCCAGCTAATTTTTAAAAAATTTTGTGACGGCCGGGCACGGTGGCTCACGCCTGTAATCCCAGCACTTTGGCAGGCCGAGGCGGGTGGATCACGAGGTCAGGAGATCGAGACCATCCTGGCTAACACGGTGAAACCCCATCTCTACTAAAACTACAAAAAATTAGCCGGGCGTGGTGGCAGGCGCCTGTAGTCCCAGCTACTTGGGAGGCTGAGGCAGGAAAATGGTGTGAACCCGGGAAGGGGAGCTTGCAGTGAGCCGAGATCACGCCACTGCACTCCAGCCTGGGCAACAGAGCAAGATTCT